GCTGAACTGACGCTCTTCAGGAACTCTTTACTGCAGTTTGCTCTGGGACAGAACAGTGGAGCTTACAGCTCTGCCATCTTTCAGTCTTCTCAAGTCTTTTCTTGCATTCATCCTCTCATTCATTTAGCTTGATGTCTGACACCATTTCTGGATCATAGATACAGCAATATGTAAACAAACTGGACAAATAGGAAGACAAACAACTGTGAACTGATCTTTGTGGAATGAAGTTCAGTAGTTGTGATGCACAGAGTTGGTCTGTCATTAGATGCATACAGAAAAGCAATGGCACATTTCCACCAGAGGGGTCTCCAAATCCCCAAAACACACAAAGTGCAGCTTTAAATACACCCTCAAAGACTCCATAGCTAAATATTAAAAAGTGTGGGCCCTTTTCAGCACATCTAGATAAAATAGAGCTCCAGTATCTGTCAGACACCAATTCAGTGCATTTAAAGTGACTTTCTTCTTTTCTTTATATCTTACTCTGTCGCCTCCTGCCTGCAGGACTTGATCATCCAGTCAGCCACTAGTAGGCACTTTACTAGAGGCACAGTGATAAAAATGAACTAATCTGCCATTGTCTTTTGGCTGATCATAATCCTGATGCTCTCCACGTCTATTATCTAATTATGCCCTTCATTTTCTCCTCCAATCACTGCTCAGCAACCTTTACACTATCCACCATTACTTCAGTCAAGCTGTCAGCTTTTTAGCAGTGAGCTAGTGTTCCTTTCAATGTACATTGAATTTGAAGCTCCAATTATTAAAAAAAATGTGTTGGGGGGTCTGTAAAAGTGAGGCCTGAGACCTCCACAGAGTAGAGAATGACCCTTTTCCAAAGCCAAGTAAAAAAAATGCAAGCACCCTATTTAAGTGTGTTCTCTGACTAAATGATTAACTGTTGATCGTCCTTTTCAGCAGTGATCTGTAAGCTGTCATTAGAGGTAAGATATAATAAAAAAATAATAATAAAACATGTCTCCCATGGCAGGATGCTTTAGCTAAGATGCTCAGTGATTTGGGTTTTTAAGTTTGCTGCTTTTTCCGTCTTTCTATACATTCCAATTGTCTGATTATAATCAATGTCATTTTCATTGGGGTAAATGTGCTGTTTGTAAAGAGTGGATGCTTTAAAATGAAGTGTTGCACTGCTTGTTGGGATGGGGTTAAACTGTGTTCTCATTAATTTGTGCGTTTTATCTTGCTAACGTGTTTTAAATGCGACTGTAACCAAAAACCTGGGTTTATAAGTTTGTTTTTTATACATGGCATTTGAACTTTGATCTGGAATTGTAAAACTAGTCAGATGCTTGTGGATAAAAATGACAGCGTGACCTTTGATAATAGTCAGCTTAGCCAAAGACGTGATTCAAAAATAGTCTAAGGTCGAAACTGAGATAGACAGTCCATAACACATGGACCAAAGCACCAAAGAGGGACGTCTGAAGATAAAGTGGAATAGAACAGTTCAGGTGCACGCAGGGAGAAAACAGACAGGTAAAGGACGCTCAGTTCACAGAGACAATACTTCACCAAGACCAAGCATAACAAACAGGTATTTATACAGAGACAGGAAATGAGAAACAGGTGTAAACAGGAATCAGGTGACTTGGAGCGAGGAAGTGGATTATGACAGTGGAGGCAGTATGTGTAGGTGTCATGTGATCTGTAGGATCCTGGGAGATGTAGTTCATGGACTGGACAGAGCCGGCCAATGAGATAGAGTGAGGAGGACCACAGGGCGTGTCAACGGGAATAATGCCATTCATTCATAACAATGAGCCATAAACATTTTCATTCTGAACAGAACATTTTCAAAAGCTCACATTAAAAATTAAAAATGGACTGTAAACCTCACTGTAAACCTAATTGAAGCATATTGTCTGTGTTAATTTTCTATTTGTGAATTCATTAATTATCTAAATGTCTTCCTCATCTGCATCAATACACAACTTTCCTCATTCCATAAAGCTAAAATCTACCTAAAAGTTCATAAAAATATGTTCACAACACACCTGATCAACTAATCAGCACATTAATAACCCCTTACTGAGTTGAAGTGGGTGTGATAAAGCAGGAAAAACACTGAAAGTGCAGTCAGGGGGTCTCCAGGACCACCTGTTAATTAATGGATCACTGTCACTGATACATTAAACATCATTTTAATCAATAAGCCGAAATCTTCAATTATTTTACATTAAAAGTAAACTGTCTTTGTGGGATTTAAACACTTCAAAATATGCTGACTCTGCTTAGCTTTGACTATGTGTTGAAAAATCTTGCAGTTCTTGAATGAGTTACCTTCGGAACCCCAGGGCTGTGTGCTCAGTCCTGCTATTCACACCGCTGACTAACGACTGTGCTGCAAAGCTCCAATCACATCCTCAAGTTTGTATATGATGTTACAGTGGTGGGTCTTTCATCAACAATGACCAGTCAGTATACGGGGACGAGGTGGAGCAGCTTGCAGACCGGTCTCTTAATGTTTTTAAGATGAAATAGATGATAGTTGACTTCAGGAGGACTCATGGTGATCACTCTCCACTGCACATCAACTGTGGAGAGAGTCAAAGTTCGTTGGGGTGCACGTCACCGATGACCTGACCTGGAGCCTTAACATCACCACCCTTGCCAAGAAAGCGCAGCAATGACTTCACTTCCTGCAAAGGACGAAGACAGCAATCCTCCCCCTTCCATCCTCACTCTTCAGGGGGACAGTAGAAAGCAGTACTGACTAGCTTTCTCACAGTCTGGTAGGGGAGGTGCACCATCTCGGATTGCTGGGCCCTACAGTGGATTGTAAGGACAGCTCAGAAGATCATCAAGGTGTCCGTTCCACCACCACACTCTGCAACAGCTTCTGCCCTGAGGCAGACAGATCACTGAACGCATGGAGTCCCTTCAAGACACATCTGGACTAATCTAGACCTTCTCCAACATCCACTGTAAACAGATCACGCACCCCTTTAGCACCACTGCACACCTGCACTTTAAATTCTTTAACGATCTGAATCGGCTATGAGGTTTCAATATTCCTCTACGGTTTACAGCGACAATGTTTGCACTAATTCCTTTATAACAAACATGCTGCGTGGTGTCATTCCATGCGTATATACGCATATGTGTATGATGCCCAATCGCTTTTACCGTTTTCTTGTACTGTCCAGTGATAACTGTCTTGTATATTTATTGTACTGTATATTTATTACATTTATATGATAATGGCACACACTCTTTTGGCCTCACTAGATTTACTGTCTTGTGTATTTACTGTCCAGTTTATTTATTGTCTGATGTATTTATTGTTTATTGTGCACTTGTTTCACACTGTTGTGTATCTGCACTTTATGTTTAATGCACTGCTGTAGTGCGAATCAACAGAAGCTGATTTTACTGTGTAGTTTTATAGTCTAGGCCTTGTGATGAGTCTGTTTATACTGAGTGGATGAGCGACATTGACTCTGTATTCTCTCTCACTCTGAGGTAACAATCGATGACGTCACAATAGGCGAGTCCGGGCGTGTATAAATACCGCTGACCAGCTGATCAGTAGGTCATAATGATGATGAGCTGCTAAAGGTAGGCTGTGATTCTATTCCTCTGATTCTGACTCTCCTCACACCTTCACTCCACTATTACTACTATTACTACTATTACTATTATTAGTTTAGTAATCTGTTGAAATACTCGCGGTCAGAGCACACCGACCATATATTCTACAATAAAGTCTGTAGTTACATTTTTTTTCAGTTGTGTTTAAAATCAGTCCAGGAAAACAACTGACAGTCGAAAAGAACCCGAGAGAGAACAATCAGTCAAGAACAATAATTGAGGGAGAACGTTTGTCGTTTGGGGTATTGATTGGGTTTGTCCGTGTAATGGCATTTCAATAATAATGTATTAGTATAGTAGTATAGTATTAGTACTACTACTACTACTATTAATAATAATAATGCTATTCTTATTGTTATTCTTATTAATACTAGTAGCAGAAGTACAACTGCAATTGTTGTTTCTTTTTGCTGTTTATTATTATTATTATTATTATTATTATTACTATTATTATTATTATTGTTATTGTTATTGCTGTGATATGGTTTGTTTGGTCTGGACCTAATAATAATAATAATAATAATAGGAGTAGTAGGAGTACTCTTGTTTTTTATTGTTGCTGTTAATATTAGTAGTTGTCTGTGTTTTTCTGATTCCGATTCTACTGATGATTTTATTACTTTATTTTCTTCAGTGCTGAACTGAGAAACTCAGTATCGATCAGAAAACTGTTTCAGTGACATAAACAGACTGATTAAACTATTCGTTTTTAAAAGTTGTGAAAGATTAAAATTCATATTTGTTACTATAATAATAGCAATAGTCATTTACAATTTATAGACATATTAGGATAACTATTATAATACTGATACAGCACTTTCACAAAAACTATTATTATTATTATTATAGTATATAGATATTATTATTATTAATCTGAGTGCTACTTTTATTTGATCTATAGAAATCTGTGTAAATCATAAAACAATGCAGAATCAGCGAGGAAACAAACTCACTGGGGAAGAAACTGCTGGGAAGCCCCCACAGGAGCCCCCTTCTCCACAGAAACTACGATGCTTCCAAGACATCCTGGACATCGTCTTCAGCCTGAGTGATGAGTAAGTTTCTTCTCTGCGTTTCAGGTTCATTCTCTGTTATGATAATGAGAAAATTATTCAACACACTAATCATGCAATACCTGATTTTTAGGGAATGGAGGACTTTGAGCAGCGATGTTCCGAGTGCAGTAAGTACAGAAAAGATAATGATCACACATTTTTACAGTGTTCAGACTGAAGGTGCTGTAAGAAATGGAAAATCCTGAAACATGTCTTTGATTATTTCAGGGAGCAAAGCTGCAGTTTGCGTGTCTGAGCACAAAGATCGTCATATCTGTCTGTAGATCAGCGATACAGAGTTACCTGCCGACTCTTATCCGTGCAGTTGGGATGGAAACTGTTCTGATAGCAGAAGAGAAGCTGAGGAAGAAAGCTGAGTCTGCTTCCATGAGCTCTTCTACCAACACTGCACCTTCTTCAGAACACTCAGCTCAAAGGTGAGACTAAAAGCCCAAGAAGTTCACTTCTCATTCACAGTGACGTCATTTCCTCATTTCATTAGAAAAGCATACATATTAAAACACACACAAATGTATTTTGTCATATTAAGATTAAAGCACACAGACGATTCTTTAAAGACATTAATCATGAGTTCATATCAAGTGATGATCTATAATTTAAATACATGGTACTTGTCTTATTTCTGAATTTCCACAATATTAAATTAAAATGTAAAAGTTCTCACCTGCTCTGTTTCAGATCATAAAGACCGTGATATTAATATTGATATCTTTTCTTAATGACTGATTTCTTGCTGCGTTTGTCTGATTATTTTGTCTCAATCCAGATCTGCTGTGGACCCGTCTGATCAGATATGCATCATCATTGAGGATTTTGTACGTGAGGTGAAAATGGTGATGCAAAGCGCAATCAGCAAGGTCGCCTCCTATAAAGCGTCATCATGGTCCAAGGACTGGAAGACAACATGCAGCTATGTAGCCAAAGAGATGCTAAACATTCTGGAAACAAAAGCTCAGCCTTCCCACCATGAGGACACTCCTGATTTGAGAGAGGAACACGACAAAGACAGAAGACACACTGAAGATCTTACAAGGAAGGTGATCATGGTGGTGCTTGATGTCCTGGACAGCAGCAGTGCTGGGAGAGCAGATAGTAAAACCGGTGATCTGCTCATCACTGCTGCTGAAAAGCTCATAGAGATGACCTCATCTTCACAATCAGAGCGTCTCTCTAGGCATAAGAAGAAGCACAAAGCTCAGCTGTCTCATGAGGATCTCCAGGCAAAGGCCACCAGGGCTGTAGGTCAGGTGCTACTTAGCAGTGCTGGAGTTTGGGAAAGGAACAGTAGCTCCCCTGAGATGCCCAGCAGCCTGGCCAGTCAAACGGATCTGGACTCTATGTTAGAGGCAATGACTAAGGCAGGGTTCCCAACTGATCTGATTGAACACAACCTAGTCGTCAAATCTAGAGATATTGTGAGCACTATTGAAAGCAACATGGACATGTTGTCATCAGCCAGCCACTCTTCAAAAAAGATGGAAACTGAAGACTCTGGAGTTTTCTCCATCATGAACTACATGATCCAGAGAATTAAGGAGAGACTGAAGATATTCTTTAGAGTGACGAAGCAACTTGAGAAGGAAAGAGGATCAGCTGAACCTTCATCAAATGTGTCACAGGACTCAGAGACTTTGATGGCCAAATCTGTCCACAGAGCCAAATCACAGGCACCATCGGTGAACAATGATTTTCAGACAGATGATCCCACAGTGAGCTGCACAGATGAGGAGGTTGGTACTGAGTCTCTTTTCAGGACATGCTGTCAGAGCCAGACAGTTTTATCAACACAGAGTGTTCCCACCTCTGATGTGCAGCTCTCTAGAGTCCACAGTGTTTCCCAGTTAGATGATCTCACTGTAACATGCACAAATAGCATTATTAGTGAGATTGTCCACCTTTATCACTCAGATGTGCTTTCTGAGTGTCCAACATCAGTGACAGATAAAGATTCAGTGGAAATACGTGACATATTTCAGGGTTTGGGAGAACTTGTCAGGACTAGCAGATCTACTTCCAAGACTAGTTCATCAGATAAAGATTTAGGAGAGTGTGAGGATATTTCACTCCCTAAACTAGACGTTTCTAAAGTAGATCCTGCACTTGATCAAACTTCATCACACTGTTCTCTCAAGAACCTTCTCAGTGCTCAGTTCCAGAGTCAGGCAACACAGACTGTTTGTGACGTTCTTCTGAAAACAGGAGAAAAACTTTCCATCTCAGGGTCCACACAGTCATTCAAGTCCTCTTCCAGCCCAACTGTATTCCTGCCACCTGCTGCTGCCTCTTCCTTCTACACTGAAGCTCAGTCTACAGCGTCAGACATTGTCACAAGCTTTTTGAAGAAGCTGTGGAAATGTTGTTTCTCAGCCCCATCAGACAACGCTGGCACTTCAACTAAACCAGCTCCAAAGCAAAAGAAACAAGTACCCTCTGCTTCTCAAAGCATCTACAGAGGTGTACATAAGACGGTGTTTGGATTTCTGCTGGGGCTCCAAAAATCAGACAAAAGTGAAAAATCAGATCAAAGTGTGATTTTAGTACAAGAACAGCCTAAAACACAAGCAGAGCTGGAAAGTGGGAGTGTCTTATCATTCAGGTCACCTCCCCAAACAATATCTCCAAGGTTCCAGCTTAATTTAGACTCTTGTACGGATGAGGTAATTTCCAAAGTAGTGGAGTTGTATAAGAGTGAGCTGCTTCTGTGTAGCTCCTCTAAAGCATCTCTCCACATCTCTACATCCCTTCCTGAACAGCCTTCAGTCAGTCTGAAGACCATTAAGCCTAAAAGCTTCCTGACTGATGCTGCCCAGCTAGTGAGTGATGTTTTAATCAGGAGATTCTCCTCACAGACGTCAAGTGTTGAATCTGGACAACACTTTTTGGACTCTTCTAGAAAAACCTCCTCTTCACCTGTTTTCTCTCCCAGCTCAGCAGATGTACAAGATGCTGCTCTTATCATTGCTGAAACACTTGTTGACGCCTTAGACAGATATGTAGAGTCTAAGCATTCAGCAATGACCACTGTGAACAGCAGTTCTGATATGCTGAGCTGTCTTGATGTCGTCTCACAGATCTCTATCACCAGCATCCCGAAAGATTCTGACACATCGAAAATGAAAACCTACTCAAACCCTTTTTTCATTTTCAGAAAGGTAAAAGATCTACTTAGTGATCTTTTAATGGATGAACAGAGATCTGATCCCAGCCTAATATCTGCAGAGCCAGAGAGATCCACTGACCATGAGGTGGGTGCCTTTTTTGAGGAGCCTGATTCTGCTGCTGAAATTGTAGCAGTCACTCAGCCTCAGTCTCTCCAACGGCCAGCCTCTGAAATGAACCAGCCGGACCCTCTGATTTCTGATGAGACCCTGAAGAGTCACGCAGACAGATTAACAAATTTGATGACAGACATTCTTATAAATACAGCAGATCCATCACATGTTTGGAAGCATTCCTCAGACTCAGTTCTGGAAACAGCCTGGGTGAGGAGCTCTCTGCTGAGAGACCCTATCCAGGTTCTTTCATCGCTGGTCTACGTCTTTGTAGACGATTCAGTGAAAAGTTTGCTTCTGCACTTGCTGAGACTAAACCCAGCATTTTCACGTGTAGCCGATCAATCAGCTTCATTCACTTTCTCTGATCGACACCTGAAAAGAAGCAGTGCAGGTTTTGAAGGCCAGAACTCAGAGAAGTCAACTGGCTTCACTGAAGCACAAAACCATTTCACTGAGGCTCTTACAGACTCACAGAGCAAGATGGAGAATCCTCTGTCATTGCTCGTGAAGTCTGAGCACTCTGAGAGGAATCATGATGTCTCTGTATTGGATGTCAAGTCAGTTTGTGTATCACCCACAACTTCAAGCACTGCTGGCACTGCAATGGGTAGAGAAACATTGGAGAACCTCAGCATCTCCAGCCAGCAGTATGAGATCTACTCTTCCAGCTGCAGCCCAGTAAGTGAGAGCAGTCCCTATTATCCAAACCCTTTGGATATGAAAAAGAGGCGTGTATTTCGTTTTATTGTGGGTAAATTAGCTCCTCTCTTCAGCATCAGACTAAAGGTATGAATGACTTTTTATATATTAATCATTTAATGATAATAAACACACCAATCATATGACTGTCTATATTTGGAAGTACTGTGTTAAATATAAGACTGTTCTCTGAAACTTCAACATTTTGTTTGTTCATCCAGAAATCAGGTAAAGTGTGTCCTGCTGGCCTGGTGTCTGACAGCCATCAGTCTCCCTCCACCTCTGGAAATCTTCAGAAGTGTAAGTACATGAAACAATACACACAAATTCACTAATTCACAGTGAACAGTATTTCATAAGCTGTGTCTCTCAATGTTGCTCTTTTATTCTTCTAACTGGAATGTAGAGTGTAATAGAATTAACTGGACATTTACATAAGAAAACAGTTTAGTCAGTTGATGTGACTCTGATTCATCTTATCTTTTGCAGCTTCACAGAGAGAATCAAAGGTTTTGATGACACCATTTAAGAAAACCAGCAATCGTCTGTCCAGGATTTTCTCAGCCATCCGCAGAGCACTGCCCAACCCCTTCCAGTGCCTGACTCCACCATCATAAGCACTACTTTAAAAGCTTTTCGGTAACGATTCCTATGAGTCCTATTCATAATGTACTGTAAATGCATTAATACTGTGTTGTAAGGCCTACATAACACCTTATAATACCACACAAAAGCTTTTAAATTGTTATGATAGACGCATAACACTTTAGGATCCACAATGCATTTCAGAATCTCTTCAAAAGAACATTGTATACACTTATGTTGTAATGTGCTATAATATTTTATAGAGCTGTATGCCGGGATATTACAGGCTTTAAGTGATGGTAGGTTTTTTAAATGTCTTTTAAATGTTAAATTCTGCCACTGCAGGAATTGTTTAAGGCTTTTATTAACACAGTTAGCTTAAAGCCATTGCTAAAGTTTGCCATAATACTAAACAAGTCAGCTGTCATTTACTGATTGTCTCTACTGGCTAACATAACGTTCTCTGAGCTGCTACTGTTTTAATCTTAAATGCTAACAGTCTAGCACCTGTAGCCAGCTAGCCTGACATCACAGTTTCCAGATAGTTAAATATTAAATATTTATGAAGTCTATGAAATGGTGGAGGACTGTGCCTGAAACCCCTCCTCCTTCCAGTCTAACACCCTATAAACTTCCGTTTCTGGTGACAAAGCGTTCACAGTCTTTACAATCTGGTGTCGACCTGAGGAGGATGGGTTCCCCTGTTGAGTCCTGGCCAGGGAGTTTTCCTTGCCGCTGTCGCCCTCGGCTTGATCATCAGGGGTT